TGAGAAAATCGATGCCACCAAAATAAAATCATCGGATTTTTATATTACTCCGGGAATAGGATGTGTATTTTTGCTGGCATCCATCATCTTTGTGTCCACGCATGACAAGACTGCAGCTGAATTTGCTGCAATCGTAAGTACTTTGTAATTTTAACTTTGATTATTTTTGTTTATTTAGGAACATGGAATTTGGAAAGTGCTTGACAAGTTATATATCATATTGTCTATTAATTTGTCTTTTAGTGTAACTTTGAATACAAGACCTAAAAGCAAATAAATATGATAGGCTTAAAAACCTGGAACCTGTCCAGAATTTGAGTTTTGCTAATAAAAATCCATTTACTCCCCATGTTGAACGCATTATTGCTAATGGAGGTGGTGAAATTGACTTTATTATCTTACATTTCTCTACTTTTCAGTTCAGCAATAGCACATCTACATGCTACGTGCTGTTCCAGCTATAGAAAATATACAGGAGAGCCTGGAGCAGTTGTACAAGCCTGTCTTGGGGAGGCTGACATGAGAAGATCACTTGAGCTTAGCAGTTTGAGGTTGTAGGGGGCCAGGATTGCCCCTGTGAATAGCCACTGCATGTCAGCCTAGGCAACATAGCAAGATCCCATCTCTATTAAAAAAAAGAGAGAGAATGTATAGGAGAAATGACTCAAAGGTTGATCCTAGTAAAGGAGATAGATAAATTGTAATGGAATATGTTAAATGAACTGATAGAAGTTGATCTAGATAGTACTTTCAGTGGGTAGTTCATCAAGACTTTCCAAGGAGTACTAGAAAGGATCCTTTTTGAGGAAATCAATTTCCAGCTTTTTAATCTCTGTATCTAATCTGTTTTGTTCGTTTGTTTATTTTTGAGGCAGAGTCTCACTTTTTTGATCTGCTGGAGTGCTGTGGTATCATCATAGGTCATAGCAACCTCAAACTCTTGGGTTCAAGTGTTCCTCATGCCTCAGTTTTCCAAGTATCTAGGACTACAGACACCTACAGTGGGAACACAATGCCCAGCTTATTTTTTTTCTTCCTCCCTTTCCTCCCTCCCTCCCTTTTTGAGAGAGTCTCACTTTTTACCCTCTGTAGAGTGCTGTGGTATCATAGCTTACAGCAATCTTGAGCTCTTGGGCTCAAGTGATCCTCTTGCCTCAGCCTCCCAAGAAGCTGGGACTACAGACACCTGCCACAATGCCTGGGTATTTTATAGAGACCTTGAATTCTGAGCTCAGGTGATCCACCAAGGCCTCCTAAAGTGCTAAGATTACAGATGTGAGGCACTGTGCCCGCTATGATCTTTCTTTCAATAGAGATGAGTCTCTCTCCTTGCTCAGGCTGGTCTCAAACTCCTGAGTTCAAGCAGTCCGTCTCAGCCTCCCAGAGTGCTAGGATTACAGGCATGAGCCACTATACCAGACCATAATCTTTCTTAAAACTAGTATGTCTGAGAGTTCATCTCTGGTGGAGGAGTCTCACCAGTCTTTCCCTCTTTCCTTTTTTCAATCACCATGTAACTCACCTCCCGCACAAAAAAATGTATTTGCCTGTCCCACATCTTACTCTGGTACACTGCCCTAAGTTGGAAAACAAAACAAAAAATCCTTGAGTATAACCAAGGGACCTCATTGAAAAATAAAGATTTAGTTTTTATCTGAAATCCGCAAGGACAGATTTTTTAAAAAAAATTCAGAATATCCTATATTTGTAAAGGTAATACTATGCATTTACAGTATTATACAATGCCATTTGAGGGCCTGGGACAGACTATCATCCAACATTAATATTTCTGAAGCAAAACATATGAATATTTATAATAAAAGGGATAACTTATGACTGCAATTAGGCTCGGCACCTGTGGCTCAAGTGGCTAAGGTGCCAGCCATGTACACCCAAGGTGGCGGGTTCAAATCCAGCCGGGGCCCGCCAAACAACAATGACAGCTGCAACCAAAAAATAGCCGGGTGTTGTGGTGGCCGCCTGTGGTCCCAGCTACTTGGAAGGCTGAGGCAAGAGACTCACTTGAGCCTAGGAGTTGGAAGTTGCTGTGAGCTGTGATGTTATAGCACTCTACCCAGGGGGACAGCTTGAGGCTCTGTCTCAAAAAAAAAAAGACTGTAAATAGTCTCAATTCCTGTCAATTTTGAGTCATGTGAATCATGAAAACTTTGAGGTTTCTGTAGCTCTTTTGGTTCCACAATTGCAAATCAAGGATCATGGACCTAGAGAGGTATCAGCATTGTGAACTTGAATGACTAACAACTGGATAACAGTCTTCTTGTAATCAGGTGTTTTCCAATTAATACTTTGTTCTTAACAAAATTGAAGTTGTTATTAGTAGAGTTATCAGCTAACGGGTTATTAAAAGTACTTGTTATGCTGTAACAATTCAAAAGGAATTCAGAGATTACATGGCTAATAATACATCTACCTATTTAGGTGACTATATTTTCTTAGCATTTGCATAAAACCAAAACATAGCAGTAAAATTGGTGCTAAACCTTGATTCATGCTAGCAATTGAATATTGCTAATGTTTATCCATGGGTACATGAACCAATTGAAGAGAAAAACCAAGTTTTAATGAGGCCTTATGCTTAATTTTAGTTTATGCACATATTTCTTTTGCAGAGGAGTATGATAGAGTGATTGATAAAAGAGGAGTATAAAAATACATTCTTAGAAAATCCTGTGGGGGAAGTAGAATGAAGTTGAAGAAAAATTAGTTCTAGGGAAAAAATCCCCAGCTATTATCAATAGAAAAAGTGTTTGTGTTTTAACTAGGAAATGTTTTAATGGTTACAGTATTTAGATTTCACTGGATATATTTAACAGTGAATGGTAATTTAAAAAGTCAATGTTTATAACGTGCTGGAAACAACCCTTTCAAACTATTTAAATTATGAAAAGTTTTATAGACTGAAAGGAGTGAGGGAGTTCACTTTTTAAAAAAGGGGGAAGTGTGTGAGCAAAAGAGCTGGAAGATCACTTGTCTGGATTATATGCTGTAGAGGGCCCTGTATGAACTGGAGCTCTCTGAGGAGATGACAGCTTCACAAACAAAGGGATATCTGGCCTGGATTTGAAGTAGTCAAGAAATTTGCTAGGAAAATCAGGGGATAGATGCTATCAAGCCAACATAAAGACTCCAGAGGGAAGACTTTGGTTTTGGGGTGAATTGATAATTAAATTTAGGCTAGATGTTTTGGGGACATCAGGTGAATTAGTGAATTTGGAGCTTAGTTTCTTATGGTGAAATGAGGGGGAATGCATACTCTTCAGGGAAGTGGGAGAGGAAGGGTCAGGAAACTGCAACAGGCTATAATAAAATATTATTAACTCATGGAGGTGGAGTGTCAAGAGTTGGATGAGACTTGAGCTGTCACTTAACATCAGTTTCTCTTCTGTACAAAGCACTTCTTTGGCCCCCCTTTTCTTTAAGGGTTTTGCCAGTGGAGTTCAAATTTAGAATTCTCAGACTGTTTGATCATATGTTAGAAGAGTAAACGAGGAAGTGATTTAAGGAAGAGGAAGCATAGGTGGTGGCGTCATAGCACTGTGTCATTACAGTGTGACAGTTAACTGAAAAAATGTATTTTAGGGAATTTAGCCCAGTAGTATCTCTACAAAATGAGTTTTTTTTTTTTTTTTTTTGCGGTTTCTGGCTGGGGCTGGGTTTGAACCCGCCCCCTCTGGCATATGGGGCCAGTGCCCTACTCCTTTGAGCCATGGGCGTCGCCCATGAAATTTCTTTTTATCAATTTCACTTAGGCTGAATTGTCTACTCACATATTTCCCTTATCACATCTGTCAAACCATTGCTAATAATCCTGTTCTATATTATTTTGTAGGATTTAATTTTCATCTAATCTTGAATTCATAGATTAGCTTTGCAAACATGCACATGCGCACATATTTGTATTTTGTGGGACTCTGACTAATAGCCATTATTCTGAAAGCCATTATTCTGTTGTTTAGCAGGCCCCAGGCTGGGCTCAAACCCATCAGCCTCGGTGCATGTGGCTGGCACCGTAACTACTGTGCTACAGGCGTCTTTCCATTTTTGATGACTTTAAAGTACTTTTTGCCATTAAAGTTGAGAGTAGTGTGTATAAGATTAAAATTGAGGAACATCTTGCTTTTATGAAATTCTCTCATTGGGAGTAGGAAATGTGAGATTATATTCGAAGAGTCCTCATAGAACCTTTACCCCACTTTTTTTCCTCAGGTGTTTGGGTTTATAGCAAGTTTTATGTTCCTGATTGACTTTCATGTTATGCTCCGTGAAAAACGACAGGAGTCCTCGCTGAGAAAACCTGAAAATACCACTGCGCCATCAGCCCTCACTGAACCACTTAATGCTTAAAGACCCTGAGAGGCGGCTGTCCCGTGAGGTAGCAATCTGTGTCATGATGCCTCAGCTGTGGCAGAAGCTCATGTAGAATTTGCATTGTTTAAACCACTTTTGGACAGTAGGAGGAAGGGCAGGAATGCAGTTTTATCAATACTGCGTCAGTCACCACAGATTGGGCCAGAGAGTTTTAAAAAACTTATTTAAAAAATAACATTAGATAAAAACTAATCAAATGGAGATTTGGCGGTGAGTGGGAGGTGGAAGACAATTGTTCCTTCAAATCAGACCGGTCAAAAACGATTTTGTCATTATGTTATAGGGCATTCTGTTACTAGGCTTAGCTTCCAAATTATACTTTATAGCTGTATAAACAGCATGATTATATTCATCATTTATAAATTCTCTTTTAAATTAATTTGCTTAGCTAGTAGTTTGTTTTGATGATTAGATTATGTTCTGTTAATAGGACTTTAATGTATATTTAAGAAACTAGTGTTTTAAACGTTGGTCTAGGTATTTTTCTTTAACATGTAATCCCTGGCTTTACTATATCTCACTTAGCCTTACAAATTACATTACAGTGGTTTAGGATAATTGTTAACTGTTTTGGAGGCCTTTGTATAGCCTAATATAAAATACTGTATATGTATAGTCAAATATAAAATGGAAGATGTTGGTATTTTATTTTATGTGTATAAAAGCAACAGTTTCAGCAATCTCATGTTTATATGGCACTTTGGCTGTCGAGCCAAGAAAAAAAAAACTGTTATGTAACTCATAAAAAAAAAAAATGAAGAAACTGCTATTACTACCAAGGACCAAAGATAAGAAAGACTTTTTGCCCAAGATAGTGAAAGTAATTATACAGACAGGTTTTGACCACTTACCAGATGCGTGAAGGGATGAGTTAGAGAATGGTCCATTCCCCTGTTGACATATGATTATTTTTACTAAAATGAACTCAGCTCTGCAGGTCTTCTTTAGTGTTTTCTTTGGAGCCGGTCATCTTTTTAGAAACCCAGCCTTTGATTTTTCATCTGTTCAAGTTGTTCTCTGTTCTGTCTCCTTGTCAGACAGAATTGGAGTCAGGAGCTGCCTCATCGTCTGATACAGGTGGGCCTCTGGTTCTCTTTTTGTCATTTGTCTTCAGGTGGTCTGGAATCTTTGGCCTTTTTAATTGTGAAGGGTATATAGGAGGGTCTTTACGGTTCTCTTCCCACATAAGAACTGCACTAGTTTCTCTTTGGAGGTGACCGTCTTAAGAAAATAAACATTCAGAGAACCCTGTGCAGATTAATACTGGGTATAAGGGAGCAGTCAGAACATTCTCAAGAGTTACTTTATAACTACTTCTGATAATTTGGAAGAATTGTCTATTGCTGGCAGCTGTCTCAGAACCAGGCAGACAGGGCACTTTCTGACCAAGTGGTTCACAAGACAAGACCTTTCTTGCATTATTCCTAGAGTTGTGACCTGAATCTCTAGTGCTAAGGTGATAAGCCCATGTGTCAGGTCTTTCCATACTTAGGTTGAGGTCTCCAGGGCTAAGGTTTTCTATCTGAACCAGTGGAATCATGTTTCCAGTGATCCAGTTTAATGACCCCACTCCTTTTTCAGTTTTTCTTCTGCCATTTATGTGTCGTAAGTGGGTTTCAGTTGCATGAATGTGGCTAATGTGGTTCTCAGGAATTGGTCAGTATGTCCAAATATACCTTCTCTCTCTCTCTCTCTCACTGACTACCATACCTATCAGTTTGGATGGTGGTGCTAGTGATGATGTCACTTCTTTCTATTTGGGAGATAATGAAACCAATTATGGATGCTGTTTTTGTTGGGTATGTCATCTAAGAGAGGAGATATAGCAAAGTTTTGGGTTTAAGAATAAAGACTGGTTCAGATAACCAGTTTATGGTAAGGACATTGTAGAATTTCACATCAGACTGTACCATTGCCATTTTAAGTGTCATCTGTACCCATCTAGAATTCATAGCAAATTACCTGGGCTACCTCAGGGTCACCACCTATGCCTTGGGTGTGGTGAAGATTAAGAGAGATATTCTCAGCTGCCCTCACATATGTATGTAGCATGTCAGCTGTGCTGTTTCTGAGATTTCACCTCCGTTTGTTTCATTGGTGCACAAGTGGATCTCTTAGTTGGCCACTTAATTCCTTCCTTTTCAGAAAGATACACCATCGTATGTTTATTGGTATTTTGGGTCCCTCTGGTAACCTGCCTTCACACTGGTTTTTATGAGACCCATGAATGGTTAGCTAGCCTCTCTCTTATATTATAGAAGGAAATAAGAGTAAAAAGACTGTTTTAGTAAATAAGTTCAAGGAAAACTTGGGACCAGAAACCACTATTATATATAGAAAAGGGCAAACTTGGAAAACTCAAACTTAAGATAATTTTTTATTAAAGCTATGGTAAATTTAATTTGTTACATTTTATATAAATTGTTTAGAATTGTTCTTAATTACAAGGGAAACGTATTTAGAGTACAAGAATTTTATAATTACTGTACTTAAATTATGTTCTGTTTGGGGACCAGGAAATGTATTTTTACATTGTTTATTGCCAATCATTTTTCTATTTGTCAAATTAAATCCTGTGGGTCTTTTTTCATCTCTTTTAATATCAGATTTTGTAGCCTTCTTTTTAAATAAATCCATTTAATTACAATGTTCATACCTTTTTTTTTTTTTATTATAGAAGCATAATGTTTAGATGAAAGCTTTCTCCATCATTGCAGGAGTTGGCTCTACAACCTTGCTGAGTACCTATATAGAACGCTAGATTGTGGAGCTACTCAGGTAGGACTCTGCCCTCACTAGAAAAGAAACAAATCCATTTCTTATCCATAAGCTGTCTCACTCATTGGAAAATTAGAATATACATTTAAATAGTATTTTGGGGGAGCCACATATGAGGAGTTATAAAAAAAAAATGTTACAGACTGAATGCCTTTAAATACTTCCAAAGAACCAAATTTAGACATTTATCACATTTCTAAATATGGCAAACAATGTGAAAAACAAACTAGACATATTCTCTAGCAGACTGTTTAATGATTGGGAAAGCATGAGCCAAAACTAGAGTGTATCTTATAAAGCTATAACTATTTGTGTGGTTTGCAAAATTCCTGCCTCCAGCCTGTATGAGAATAACAAGGTCTTTATAGTCATGAAGAACGCACTGGAATTTGTGTACATTCTTCAGGGTTTTGTGTTTTATTTTGATAAAGAGCATTGTATCTGTATGCCGTAGGGAGCAGAAAACCTAAATTAGATGTGTCTTAAACAGTAAGGAACACATACGTTACAGGAAGTCTGTGGAGGGCAGTTCCACCTCTGACAAATTTGTGGCTAAATTATAATTCTAAAAGTACAGAAATGTGTATCATAGAAAATGGGTCTAATAAAAAGTGGGAAGTTTTATCTTTTCCCCCCAACATTTTTATATTTGGCTACTTTTATTTTTAATTTTTGAAATATTTCAAGCACTGGACTAACAGATCTGGTAACACCTGTCATAACACTAACCAGCTTTGTAGGTTGTAACATTTTGCCTTATTTGCTTTCAGGACCCTTGTTGAAGAAATAAAATTAAGTTTTACTTTTAAAGTACTGCCACTTTTAATCTTATTCTTCCTTTTCCCAAGGTAAATATTGTTTTGAATTTGGTAGGTATCCTTCCTGTCTGTGTTTTTATTGTCTGTGGTGTATATACAGATGTTTCCATAAGCAATGTATAACGTGACATTTGCACTGTATGTACTCCTTCGTAGCTTGCTTTTAAAATTAATGGTATTTTGAAACTTGTAACTCTGATTCATTCATTGTAAAGGTTATTTGATATTTCATTGTGTAAATATGTCACAATTTAAATATTCCTATATTTCAGAGGAAAAATTTTAAAATTAGAAAAAATTAAAAAAAACCACCCTTGGCACCTCCTATATCTATCACCACAAATAAGGATGCATACTAAGTCACTCCAAAACTCAGTGGCTTCAAATAAAAACTGCTTATTTGGCGTGTGAATCTACAGGCCATGGTTTAGGCTGCATGGCTTATGTGTCTGGCGTGGGCTTGTTGTTGAGTGGAAGCTCAGGCTTCTGTGTCAGCTGATTGTCAGCTGGAGAAACTGGTCCTCCCCCAGGTGCCTCTCCTATTCCTCCAGCAGGCCAGCCTGGGCATGTTCTCATGGCAGTGGCGAAGGGGCAAGAGGGACAAGCTCCAGAGAATAAGTGTGCTTTGCAGGCCTCTTTTATCCCATTTGCTAGTGTTCCCCTACCTGGAGTCAGAGTGAGGAGGCACTACAGAGTAATTGGGCAAAGGGCGTGGTAATACGAGGGGTAAGAACTGGGGCATCCCTCAGAGGGGCACACTTTCTTACATCCTGCCCATCTGTCAGTCTTCCTCAAGCACGTACCCTAATACTTACGAGTGGTTCAATCAATGAGCATTCTCTGATTAAAGACTGTTGTTACTCAAGTGTGATTCAGTAGGGGAATACTTTCACACAATGGAAATGTAGAAATTCTCTACTGATATGGAAAGCCATCCAATTTAATATGGCAGTGTGCTTCATAGCACAGGTAAAAGTCAGATTTACTGGGGGAATGAAAGCAGATTAAAAGTGTGCACAGTTCCTTAACCTTTCATTGTCCTGTAAGGTATGCTGGACATCGATGGCCCCCATGCAGGGTGAGCCCTGCTCCGTGGTGCTCCACAGGTTGATAGGGAAGTTGGAGGGGACAACAGAGTAAGTGAGCAACTTTATAACAGGGAAGTTCCCTAGTAGAGGCAGTGGCTTTATTAGAAAAGGGGATGGGGGAGGCGCACCCATAGCGTGATTAGGGCACCAGCCACATGCTCCAGAGCTGGTGGGTTTGATCCCGGCCTCGGCCTGCTTAATGAAAACAAAAAAATAGCCAGGCGTTGTGGCAGGCGCCTATAGTCACAGCTACTCTGGAGGCTGAGGCAAGCGAATCACTTCAGCCCAAGAGTTAAGAGGTTGCTGTGAGCTGTGATACTGTAGTACTCTACCAAGTGTGACAAAGTGAGACTCTGTCTCAATAAAAAATAAAAAAACAAATATATAGGAAAGGGGACCCTGGACTCTTTTTTTTTTTTCTTTTTTTGAGACAAAGCTTCAAGCTGTTGCCCTGGTTAAAGTGCCATAGCATCACAGCTCATGGCAACCTGCAACTGTTCGGCTTAAGCGATTCTCCTGCCTCTGCCTCCCAAGTAGCTGGGACTACAGGCGCCTGCCACAGCACGTGGCTATTTTTGGGTTGCAGCTGTCATTGTTGTTTGATGGGCCCAGGCTGGATTGTAACCTGCCATCTCAGCCGCTTGAGCCACAGGTACCACGCCAGGACCCTGCACTATTAAGATACTCCTGTATCTGTTGACATTTTTTTTCTTTTTCCTTTTCTTTTTTTTAGACAGATTTTCACTCTGTTGTTTTGGGAAGAGTACCATGGATACTCGAAACTCCTGGGCTCAAGAGATTCCCTGTCTCAGTCTCCCAAGTAACTGGGACTACTAGCCCCACACCACAACCCTGGCTAGTTTTTCTACATTTATTTATTTGTGAGACAGAGTGTCACTTTGTCACCCTCAGTAGAGTGCTGTGTCATAGCTCCGAGCAACCACAAACTCTTGGGCTCCAGTGATCCTCTTGCATCAGCCTCCCAAGTAGCTGGGACTATAGGCACCTGCTACAATACCCTGCTATTTTTAGAGGCAGAGTTTTGCTCTGGCTCAGGCTAACCTCCAACCTGTGAGCTCAGGCAATCCATGAAATGCTTTTAAATGCAGTTTTTACAGCGCAAACCCGGCCGTGGGGGTCAGAGCAGGAGGGTAGGGAGGGATAAACATGGTACTGGGTGTTAGCCTTCACTCTGCTACTGGCTGCTCCCATCGTTTGCATTTCACCATTGGAGATAAAAACAGTTGGCCTCACCACCTCATAGAGCTGCTGTGTAAAGCCAATCTCTGCTTCCATCACTTTGAATATAGAAAGGTAAAGCTCAGTTCCATGACCTTTGGGAAATAAGTTTGTTGTCCGACTCAGAAAAAAAGAAAAAAGAGTTCAGAGGCTGGAGTCAGTATATTTGTCCAGTGTGCTAACTCGGACCTTTTGAGTCACCTCTCCCATAAGTCACCAGAATGAAGGAGGAAATGAACCTCTAAGGCCACCCAAATATGTCTTAAGCCCCTGGCTCTTAGGGCCCTACAGATATGTTAGGTGAGGGTAAAATACTCAACAACATGAGAACTAGAAGAATAGTGGGAGGACATTGGGACCATTTGTCCCTTTTTTATTTTTTGAGACAGTCTCCCCATGCTGCCCTTGGTAGAGTGCCATGGTGTCACAGCTCACAGCAACCTCAAACTCTTGGGCTCAAGCAATTCTCTTGCCTCAGCCCCCCAGGGTAGCTGAGACTACAGGCACCGGCCACAACACCTGGCTGGTTTTGGTTGCTATTGTCATTGTTGTTTAGTTGGCCCGGGCCGGGCTTAAACCTGCCATTTCGGTGCATGTGGTCGGTGCCCTACTCCCTGAGGCACAGGCGCCGAGCCCATTTGTCCCTATCTTAATAGAAAAAGATTTTTTCACCTCCTCTTGGCATCCACGTACCTCTCAGGGTCAGACATGCTGCACAACTGACCAGCTGGGATGTGTCATTCCTTCTGAGAGAAGAGCCAGATCGTCCTTTGTCTGGACCTACAAATTGCCATTTTCTTACCACGGCAGATAGCGGGCAAAAGAAGATGGTCATAGAACACCTGAGACAAAGTATCCAAGTTAGTCCTTCCACACAAATCAGAATAAAATGAATCATCCACCTATTTTTTATTGAAGTCAAAGCAGGTGCCAAGTTGGCCCAGGAGCTCAGATAAGCAGGAGGAATTCTCAGCAGGTGCAGTTTATGTACTGATGAAGCTAGAGCAGCTATCCCTGTAAAAGTCATTGAAGAGTCTGGAATAGGTAGCAAATAATACAGTCTTTGCAGTTGAAAGTGGCTTCCTTAATTTTCCCATGGGCAACTCGATCATTTGTGGTGGCTCCATACCTATGGTGGACTTAACACAGGTTCATTGGTCCGTAGTGGAGATGATGGCTACGTATGTTTGATTGGCTTTTTCTGTATACATGCTTTACATGTGGTTGCTTCATATAACCATATCTATAACAAATATTGAGTCTGTAATTGAAGTTTTATGTTTCCTAGATGGGGGCACTCAATACATGTATGTCATTACCAGCTCAGTCCTATTTGGCCCAAAGATCTGACCTGAAGATCTGAGCATACAGTTAGGCCATTACTGACTGCACGTGAGATACTGTTTAGTAAGTCTTCAGTGCAGTCCCATCTGAATTTTAGCCCATTGCATGGTGTCCACAGCTGGGAGTCATCAGCCATTTACTCTCACTGGAGGCAGAGGACCTCCTCAGCTCAGAGGTGGTAGGCTTTTTATCAGTGATGCTTATTGTCAGGAGGCTTTTTTTTTTTTAAAGAGAAATGTTAAATATTCTTTATTTGACATTACACATAAACCACACTAAAATGCCTTTCGATAAATAAA